TGTAGGGTCTCCTGCTTGAGCAAGGGGTTGGACTAGAAGACCTCCAAGGTCCCTTCCAACTCTATTATCCTGTTGATGCTACATTCTGACAGCATCCAGAGAGAAGTAAGAGCGGGAATACTTCAGAATGGCACCTTCTTTTTCAAGCTTTCTAAAAGGTTACCCTGGTGTAAAATAAGGGTCTTCAAACGTGGCCAGTTTAACACTTGTGGACTTCAATTCCCAGAATTCCTGAGCTAACATGACTGGAGGAGGAATTCTGGGAGTTGAAGTCCACAAGTTTTAAAGCTGTCAAGTTTGAAGATCCCTGGTCTAAAAAGTCTGCTGCTTGAGCAAGGGGTCGGACTAGAAGACCTCCAAGGTTCCTTCATGCTCTATTCGGATTCTGACTATAGTTTTAGAAAATTGCTCAGGAAAATTTGAGCTCCAATTATGGAGACAAGATAGCCTGGCCTGTTTTATATTCTCTGCCTCTTTTCTGAGGTCTCTGGATTTTCATAAGTAGCTTGACCCCGTGTGCCACAGCTTTGGAGCTGATAGCAGAAGCATGGAAGGGGGGGGGGGAAACCCATGTTATCCTCACCTCTGCCCTCCCCCTGTGGAAACCCAGGCACTCAGAAAGCTACGAAGAGAGGCTCTTTGTACAATGAGGTCATTTTCAGGAAGCGTGTGACTGACAATAATGAAATTAAAGCAATTGTACAACTGTGACCTTGCGATTGGATATAACAGGAAGAGGGGAAAAAATGCTGCCTGTCAAAAGTTGTTGTGACATGTGGGCAAGTCACCACAAACCCACAGTTGGAGAACCACATTTCAGCCTACGCATGGTGCACACCCCAGCTTGGGTTGTGTCATCATGGGATCAACTCAGTGTGAGAAACAGCAGTGAGTACAATGAGGTTTTTTTCCCAGTGCTAAATTCCTCTTAGAAGGCAACTGTAGCTTTCTTCCTGTTTTTCCACCAGTCCCAAGAACACCAGCCCTCTTCACACAACAAGGTACCCAGAGCAGTTAAGGACACGTTTCTGCTTTTGGTTCACACAACGGCCAATAGCTGCATAGTGCTCCAGCTATGAAATTTTTACGCTCCATCTCTCCAGACCTATATCTACTATCAACTGGGGGAAGGGAGGGTCACAACTGAGAGAGAGAAAAAGTCAAGAAAGGAAGGAAGGAAGGAAGGGTCACCGTTGAGAGAAAGAGAAATTTACAGAAGAAAGTCATAAAGAATGAGAAAAAGATCAGAAAGAAAAGTCAGAAAGAGAAAGAAAGAGAGAAAAAGAAAGGTCACCATTGAGAGAGAAAAGGTTACAGAAGAAAGTCAGAAAGAAAAGTCAGAAA